ATGTGCGCAGACGGTAGGCGTAACACGCTTTTCGATCAGTAAAGAGTCCGGGTGCAAGGTCTTAAGTAAGCTACCACTTTGATGACACTAGGAATCAATCTCCCCGTGGTTTACTAAGCCGTTGTGCAATCTTATCATGAAAATAGGGCGGTGGGATGAGCTTCACAGAGCAGATGAGAAAGAAATCACTAAAAGATGACCGGATGTGTTTTCCAAAGAATGGTAGGCCCCCGTCGGCTCAAACAGCTCTTCCCCCAACGGACACCACACAGTTTCACATCAGACGGTGGTTCTCAACTTCGGTCCTACGAGCCGGATTAACGAACAGTGTCGTATCAGCTCAATCGACACAATTCATATCAATGGGGTCACATTAAAATACCTGGTGGAGGAAAACAGCTTTTTATGCATGTCCCGCAATCTCATTGAAAATTACAAACGATGATACAGGATGAATCACATAACCTGTCTGTATCGTCAATCAAATGCATGTTTGTACGCTGCAAGCGAAATGACAATCAACACAAGCAAATGCGACAGAGTAGGAGCAGTCAGCAACGATTTCATAATGCCATAAAATACGCCAGCCGAATTTGTGAAACCAACACTGCACTGACTCCTAGGAGGGCACAAAATGGCTTCACAATTTGTTATGTTCTGCCAGTTGACGTCATCAGAAAATGATTGCGCTATCCGACTAAACTAAATAACGGTAGCGATCTGTTACAACACGGGATACAGTGACTTCGACAATCAGATATACAGGCGTATCAATATCTCAGACCCAAAAATAGTCAATCAAAAAGACCCACGTGGAAAAGTCGGTTTGGCCAGTCTAGATACAATCGGGTATTAACAATTAAAGATTGTCGATTAGCTGGCACCCAGCAGTAGCATAACTGACTTTGGCTTAGGCCTAGCTGGAATTAACCGCTTGTTGGTCTATGAGAGATCAATGCGTATGTATGGTTAAGTACACCTACAGCTTGGCAAGCTAGGCTTGGCCAGAGGTGCCTTCCTCGCAGATCAGGTGGCGACGAAGCCCGTTCTGTGAGTCAGCGCGGAGAAGCAACCTTACATAATAATAGTACCAGAGCCACAAATACTGACTGGATCCGTTTGAATAATCATTCATGTGCAATAAAGCTTCATGAGCTATTCAGTATACGACAACGTATAGGTTTGGCTCGTACACTCTAAAGTCTAGAGATCGATGTGTTGCCTCTCGGAAACCCATCCAGAGTCCGAGCTCGGTAAGCCGATTGAAATCTCGCTCCGATCCAAATATGCGTTTCAACTGCGCATTTCCGGGGTCCCTGTTACATTAACATCTGGTCATGCTGGCGTTGTTATTGCCTCAAGCGCCAGAGCCGAGGCAGCACTACTGGATTGGATCCCGGTAGACAGCCGACTATGCACATTAAAATCCCGAGGCTTTGGTAAAGTCAAGAAGTAGAAACCAAACGGTACTTACTGGTGGTTTCTGCATGCGCTCCCACAGACTGTAGCCCGGATACAGTCAAGGAAGCCTTCTATCATAATCTACACGAGCTTCTTCTCAAGGCACATAAGACGGATCCTGGCCGGAAACTTAAACGCACGCGTTGATCGTCTGTCGTCCGATGAGACCCACCTTGGTGGCCATCATGGCCTTGATGGCTGTCGTTCGGATAATGGGAATAGATTTCTTAGTATACACTCAGAACATGGTCTGTTCCTCGTTATCGCGAACTTGAGACAATCAAAGCCTTACCTCGCCAATTAGCATAACCCCTCTTCGACACATGTGGAGTCAGATTGATCATGTGAAAATTACCTATAGATGAAGAGGATGTGCGAAAGACTGCCGTTCCTATTGGTCTACCTGCTTGGATTCCGACCACGCACTGGTTTGTGTCAAGTTGTCTATGCGACTTGGTGGCCACTAAAATGCGATGCAAAGAGCTTGACGTTACCAAGCTTTCTGATCCAGGCGTGCTAGTGGATTATCAAAACGAGTTGGCCGGAAGGCTAACTACTACCCCACCAAGAACCGTGGGTCAACACTGGACCACCATTCCAAACGCAAGACACAGGCAGTTTACACAGTTGTGGCCTAACCCGCCCATTTGTAAATCGCTGGGTCTCTTCCAACTCTCTCAGAGTTCTTGACGCGCGTCGGACAATCCCGGTATTGCGCTAGTATAATGAACAACAGACGAGGTGGACCCCATAGTCACGAGTACCTGCTGTTCAGTGGTGGAAATCGGCACCCTAAATCCTGGGACTTGGAGTGGCGAACCACATAAGGTCCCAATAGGTTACGCGTGGTTTTGAAACGGACGACAGCAAAGCTGCATACCACCGATGTCGGGTGGTGGTGGCTGGGCTCGGACCATAGGGTCCAAAGCACGCTGGTGACAGCGACTGAACTCGATGAGAGGCGGGGGACCTTCGCATCTAGATAAACAAGTGACCCTGGGTTGTTTACCCGATGCTCTTGACCGCAAATGACCCTATTCCGGAAAGTTGATTGCACATTTTTATGTACAGGAAAGAGGAGGTAAAAAAGGTCCAAAAGATTTTGTTTTTGAAAACGGAATCGGTATATGAAAACCCATTCTCAATTTGAAATACGCTTAGGATGTTGCTCACAAAAGTCAATTCCTCACCAGGTGAATTCAAAAGGGAAGTGCACGTTTTTACAACAAACTTAAGGATGTTGTTTCTGTACATCGCAAAAATAGTAAATGGGTTTCCATACGATCAAGCGTCTCTCATAACCTCTGCTGAGGAAGCCCTACTCACTGCCTGTTCGTGGCGGAGGTGTTTTCTCACCAAAGTGAGAGGAGGAAAGGACAATAACGGGGGCTGTAACCGGGTCGGTAAACCTAAGATTGTTCATCTAGGGGAGTTCGCTAAAATCCACAACTTGCTGATTGGAATAGTAGTCCTCGGTTCGTTTGGTCATAAGGGCATACTGGACATCTTGAACATTTGACCCCGTTCGAAGGGTGTATGATCCGCTGGAATGGACACCGACCCCCCATGGATTGCGGTTTTCATGCACTGCTGCCTTGCGTGTCAGGCTTTGATTAGTCAAAGGCTCCGGTTGTGGATTCCTCAAGAAAATTCATCTGCTTTGGCCTGGGCAACTTGGCAGTGACGCGCCCTCAAGCAAATGGTGGTGCTTTTCCCATTAAGATGATTGTACCGTGATTTGTTTAACACAATCTGGACCCGGATTTGTGTGAATATATACACACGTATCCGGAGGGTTTCGAGTTCCACGCTAATGGGAACCTATTGTTAAGTAAGCCGTCAATGTGATTTGGTGCTTAGTACCAGCTACGCGACTACTAAACGGTGGGTGTTTTTTTGAGCCGATGGTCAGTAAGCCTGTCTGTTTAGGACCATATTTATCGTATCCCCTGTTTCACTGATCTTTTCCCCCTACACTAGTCATCGTATTCATAACCGTTATGTTCTACATTTTGCTATTCGTCAAAATTCTTATCACGAACCTTCTGTATTGTTGCTCCACCAGTCCTATTTTCGTTTTCGATTGTGGATCCCGGTCTGCTTTTCTGATGTGGACTGCCGAACACTCGGTGTATGCTGCCGTGTATCTCCCCTGAGGATATTTGATGTTTTTCAAAGCCGATATGCAGGAAAATAAAATTTGTGACGTAGCATTTGGGCGGCCTAATGTGCAGATCAACCTTTTGCAAATTCACTGCATGTTGTCTTTTAGTGAGGCCCTCTCACCAATCTACCAAGGTGGTAGTGAATGTTTTCCTCATATGAAATTGTGAATGTGACAGTCCACATAGTCAACACCTTGTTCTTTGCTGTAGCCCCACCTGTTGTATTACAGATGCTTTTATTTCCTATTTCCTCTCTTCAGCATGTTTCGGCTTCTTCGTACCTGTGGATTGCGCACTGTTTCGCTGCTAAGTCAGCCACATGCTTGGAGTTCCAATGATGCCGCGGCCGCAGTGAGTCACTCGTTGACATCGGAACATCTGTGGCGCTCATTTTTCTACGTTCCTGGGAATAAGGAAAAAATGTTCCAGAAAATAGCGCAATTGCCCAGCAAGCTATCTCCGACTGAGTTTGGTTCTCACATTCCGGACTTGATCGTCCTAGACTGTGAGGATGCTGTCGGTTTGGACGAAAAAGTATGTCCACGTGTTTTTTCGTCCTTAACTTGCTATCTTGGTAATTTTTCTGGAGCTGTTTTGCCGACAAAGTTGAAGAATACTGGATTAATAAAGTGAGGGATGATAGATGAATTCGATTACGACCTTCGGTACTAAAGACATTCAGTCGACCTGCCTAACCACTCGCACCGGTTGGGAACTCTCAGACGCAACTAGCATACTGACAATCATTTCACTTTTTTACTGTGTCTGTAGCTCGTTGGTTCACACGGTATCCACACAATGTAGTGGATTATCGAAAATGAACCCTTGTATCGCCATTTGCTGTTTAAAGATTTTCTGTGATTTTCTTATTTCCACTTGCTCCAGATAACAAGGCAGTATGTCAAAAGAAACATCACTTGAAGGTAGTATGTATCTATGGTGCATGTAGCACAGAATTGGAGTTATGACTGGAGGATGCTGATCCTGGTTGAAATTGTTCGTTGCATTGGTTTCACATCCATCAAATCGGAATCTCGATTGCATGATCGGGTTTTCCTGTAGGTTACTAGAAACAGTTTATTTGCTGGGTTTCATTTTCGTACAAATTTAATTTTCAACAAGCACACTTCCCTTGTTAATTCGAGCCAAACTGTTGTGTAGCACAGCATCGCTAGGACCCAGCACCACCGACGGGAGAACACACAATCTATCTGTCTATCCATCGATCACAAGTTAGCTGAAAACAATGTGACATGCATAACTGTGATGGCTCGAAGATACACATGAGATGCAGACTGATAGGATTCACGAGATCGCACACAAACGAGCACAGACAACAATAGTTAGGTTCGATCACTACGGAGCGAGTAGCTCTGATCGTCGTCTACCCGCAATTCGCAGCCAAAGCACTTCAAGACGCCCACACTTATTGGTAACCCGTCAGCTACGACAGTGAGTGTACAGGCAAGGAAGCAAATCGGATTTATAGCTTCAACTTACCTGGTTAGATGCACCTTTAACCTCTGGATATGAAGACCTTCAAAATTGATAATTACACGAGGAAATATGCTGCATTGACCACAGTCGAATGAATCGAGTGAACTGAAAGACCCAGTGAGGTGAGAGATTTAGATATAAGAATAAAAATAAAAATTACTCGACAAAAATTGGCTGTATTGGGCGAAGATATTGTTTTCACTTCACATTTCCCTCAGCAAAGATCAGTTCTACCGCTTAACTCATGATTCCACTTGAACTTGCCCACCTGAGAGACAATCTGAATAACATCTCTCG